TACCTCAATTAGTCCTTCTGAATAAATGAGGATTTCTAGCAGTACCTATCTGAGATTAGTTAAAAGAATAAAATAATTTATCTATAAAACATTTAATATTTGGCACATAATAATTACTTGAAAAACAGTAGCTTCTGTTTATAGAAAAGAGATGCTACACACTCTTAGGGATGAAGAAGAGGGGTTGCTTTATGGAGGTGATATTTGAAATAAATTTTAAAGCATAAATAGGAAGAGATGAGCAGAGAAGAATATCTGAGAATATAGGGAGATTTAAAAAAACTTTGCATGGTTAAGAAACAAAGTGAGGTAGAAGGCGAACCTGGAAAAATCTTCCTAAGCCAGAACCTCAGAATGATCCCTGAATCTTCAATCTCTCTCATATCCCATAGCTAGTGGCTTGGTCATATGGATTCAGCCAGCTACTTTTCACTGTCTTAGAATGTTCCCATTAAATCTATCCCAGGCTATTATAATAGCTTTCTATATTAGTTAAGACTGCATTCAGCAGCCAGTAAGAACAAAATTTAAATGGCTTAACTAAACAGGGTTAATAGTTCTTACATGACAAAATGTCTCAAGGTAAGTGCCTGCTTCCATTGGTTTAGCAGCTCCATGGCAGTTGGAATGATATCTCTACCACCCTTTGCTCCTTTTCCTTTGGTTTCTATAGCAGCTCTGTCCATCGCGTCCATATTCAAAACAATAAAAAGGGAGGAAGACCATGTCAGCCACATCTGTACCATTCTACTATTCAAGAAACCATAAGTTTCTCACAAACCACCAGTAGAGATCTGCTTAAGTCTCATTACTATCAGAGTAGGTGAAAAAGTAAGAATTTGGCTTGCCATACATTCACTGCAAAGAAAAGAAGACTCAATTAGTAAGAAAAGATGGTAGGCTAGATATTAGGAGTTCAATTAACATTGTCTGCCACATCTTATATCTAGTGGTCTTATCCCCAGTCTCTCCCCCAAGTCAGCCTCCACTCTGACAGTCTAATCAGCTTTCAAATAGATTAATACGATCATACTATTTTACTAACTT